TGCCTGCCGACTCAAGATGTATTGCGAAGGCGGCCGCGATGTGACCGAAGACCTAGCCGACCATATTGCCTTTGGCAATGAAGGGTTCCATGTGGCCAAGCTCGGCAACGTCCGCGAAGACAACGGCGAATACCAAGCCCTCGTCTACTGGCTTGGCCTCGATGAAGACGAAGCCTCATGGGAGCCCGTTCGCTCCCTCAATGAAGACATCCCCATCGTTTTCCGCCGCTGGGTTCACCAACATGAAGACCAAGAAGAAGTGAAGAAAATGGCCGCGGACCTCGAGAAAACCCTCGGACACTCCCTTTAGGGGGAAGTGTTCTGCATGGCGCTGAAGAAAGATCTATGAGCCTTTTTAGAGGTCGGCTCATGGTCTCATGATCGGTAAGGCCATTAGTCTCCATTATGTGCAGCAGGCCGCCATTCGTCGTGCGGTTGTAGCCATTGTCGTGCGGTTGAAAGATGTGCATTGTTGGCGCATTTTCATTGGACGAAATGATTAGACTTAAAATAGACCAGAAAAATCAATTCGTAGTAAGAGACCTCAGTTTTCAATTTACTGTTAATTCGGCCTCCGCAAGAGGTTCCCGTCCGGATAACGACGGGAGCGAAAACAGTGTTGTAGCTTGTACTTGTGATGGATAAACGACTCGTCCAGATAAATTATCGTACGTGGCGTGTCTTCTTGCAACGCATGGACAACAAGCTTCATGTAGATATCCAGCTTTACAACCACTTCATTAGTTAGACCAACAGATACTCCTTTCTTCTTCCGGCGCATGAATCCACGGCGTTTAAAGAACGTTTGTGTAGCTCGTAGCGAAGGACGTTGGTCAGTGGGGTTTTCCTTCTCGACATCCAAGTGGCCATGCTCGCAAAGCAGTTCCATGACGTCACGAACAACAACGCGCGAGTTCGTCAACCGCTTGGTACGAAGAAGGTCCAGCACGAGCGTCATGACAGCCTGGGTTCCGGGGACTCTGGTAGCGTGAGTGGATTTATTTGACCGCGTTTTTGCAACATTAAATGTGCCGTCGTTGCAGTACTGGGACCACACAGTCTGTATTGTTTTGTTGCTGCGACCCAAAATGGTAGCAACGTGGTTTGAGACGTCTTTTATTTCCGGTTTACAGAAGTGTGCCTGTAGGCGGATGATGTCGAGCTTTTCGCCCACTGTGAGCGCCCTTGGTCGAGCCTTGGCTACGAACGCGATGGCAGCATCGAGTTCGGTGGTCATTGTTGTCCCAAGAATGAATTGAGTTTGTAATAAATACTAGAGGCGATCACTTTTTTGCGTTTTTTATCAGTACAATTATTTATATGTGTTCCAGTATTTTTTATGCAAATAATTGTCGTGGTTTGGAAAAAGTTGGACTCGAACCCTGGCCCAATTGTCATCACTTAAGGGACTAACAAACCGTGGCTTGTGCATAGTAAAGGGCTTCCCCTTTACTACATGTCTGGGTAAAACTGAAAATAACTCAATTTATGGTGGTGCTCAACTCGCGAGAATCTCTGTGTCGTTACAATGGTAGAGCATCGGTTTCTTAACTCAAAGGTCGTGGGTTCGATCCCCGGCTTCCCCGGCGCAAGGATTTATCCGTCCCTCCTGGGGAATCCGGATATCAAGGGCTGCGTACGAAGACGAGGACCGAACTTCGAAGAAGATCGGTCGAAGCACGAGGTACTACTACCTCTGTCCAACTACCTGGTCCAGCACCTCTTGACCCGGACTTCGAGCGGCAAGCTACCAAGGGCGTTGCCGAAGACATCGGCAAGCTGTTCCACTGCACCCCAACGACTGTGCGGAGCAAGACAATCTGCGCCACCGTCCACCAGCGGAAGTAGGGCCAAAGCTGGCGCAAACGAAGGCACTAGTGTAGATGATGCCCTGTCAACATTTTAAATGTGCTGGGTGTGTTTTAAATATATCTATATTTTGGGCAACATTGACAAAAATACTTCAAATTTATTGACCATATTTATGGCGAATTCCTAGGATAAGTCCTTTGAAGTACTTCTTTCCTTTGGCTCCAGAGGCAAAATACCAACTGCGCCAGAGGTATTCGTCCAAGAACGCTGGAATGCGCTCTTTGCGCACACCACGCATAGCCTTAATGTACTGCTTAATACGCACTTCCCAAACGCCTTCAATTTGCTGGGTGTGGGCGCCATTTCTTGGGTTCACGAAGTTTTCGGAATGGTTAACCCACGAGTGGGTGTAACGCATTCCGGCGAGCAAGTCGTTGTTGGCCAATGTGTGCTGCTCGTTGGTTGAAACGTGCGATCCAAACTTGTCGGAGATGATGTGGGTCCCCGGACGAATGTGTTTTTTTATCAGCGCCAACAGGGTCGGCTTGGTCCGATCGCCAAACGTCACGACACCAAACCACTGCTTCGTGGTTCGGTCTACGCCCCCAAAGAGCCAGTAATCTTCGTGGCGGGTGCCGCGGTTGTACTTCGATTTTTTCTTCATCGAGGTTTCGTCAATTTCAACGACACGGCCGTCACCACCAATCTAACAAATACTTTTAAATAATTCACATATTTATAATATATATATATACATATACTGTTATATAATTCATATATATATACATATACTATTAGATGTAATATACACATATATGTGTATATACATATACTATTAAATAATTCACATGTATATATTTACGTATACTATTAGATATAATATATATATGTATTTATCTCCGTACTATAAATATTGACTAATATATACATCAATATATATATATGTGTTAATACTTGTAGCAAATATATGTTTGTTAGTGTTTATAACACAGATAGTATATACACACAAGCAAATGAACTACTATTGAATACTAGTAATTATCTTGTACCATTAATAGTACAAACTAAAATCACAAAACATGCATGCACATAGAAAACATGTACTAATTAATACTTAGAAATATCGCCAAATATGCAGACAGAACAAACATTCCACAGTGTACTACAACAAATATATAGATGTACTCAGAAAATATGAGCTAATAGTTTTTACACAAACTGTAAATAGGTCTAAAGAACACATATGCATTTCTAAGTATAAAAGTATACATCATGAATATGTATTTTTAAAAAACCAGACGTTGCAGTTATTCATGT